AAGAAGATGGGTGCGTTGGTTGTTTTTTTTTTTTTTTTGTCTGTTATTGTTATTGGTTGTTGTTGTTGTTGTTGTTGTTGTTGTTGTTGTTGTGTTGTCGATGTTGATTAAGCGGTTGGTATTGTTGTTGTCGTGGTAATTGCTTCTGTTGTTGCTGTTGTGTCTCCTCTTGTTTGTGATGGGTGTGCATGTTGCTGCTGAACTACGGCACGTCGGCACTCGATTGACCTCAACCACTATTTAACTCTTCTCATGATGCCCGGCCATGTCGCTCGTCGTTGACCCTTATGATGTCATGACAGGATGGAGCGAAGGCACCGGCCTCGGCTCGTCAAGATCGGGCATGGTGGAGCCCATCTCTGGCTCCGGCCAGGCAAGTGTCACATCAATTCAAGGGCTGCCTTCTGGTTGGCTATCCCGCTCTATTTCATGTGTTGTTGTTTGTTTCCTTCGCATCGAAGCAGCACTGGGGTGTGGCCGCCCTTGTTTGTCTTGGTCGTTGTTGACGTTGGGTTTGGTCTACATACCACTGGGGTGTGTGTGTTTTTGTGAACATGTGTTTAAGGGCGTCTTGTTGTGCGTGCTCGAAGAGGTTGGAGGCCTCAGGTCTTGAGAGCGTTTGTGTGTGTTTCTTTTCTTGTTTTTTCTACCATCGGTGGTTGGACCAATTGAGTACTCGTTCTTGTTCACGAGAGGTGTCATGAACGGTTAAATGCCAACCTGTCACCCACACATCGCACGGATTCGACCATATAACGTGTAGTTTATGACTATCTTCGTGCCTCGACCCTCCATGTATGAGGGAATATCGTGTCCAGCCAGGGTCTACTCGGTGTTAGCGTCATCAGACCGTTCCATGTGCACGGTTCATGACTGCTACCGCGGTTGTTGTTGTTGCACTTGTTGCCTTCACTTTAAGAAACCTTTGTTCAGTACCTTCGAACATCCGTACCCGTCCAACTGACGCGGACGCCTCCCATGGCCACCGCCCACCTATATTCCAAAAAGGGCATGAACCTCTGAAAAGCAAAACAAGAAAGTGGGCCCTGAGAAAACCATCCGAACACGGTTAGTTTTGACTTGTTTTCGCCCCTTTCTTTTTTGCAGATGGACAAGTCGGGCATCGGGGGAGGAGACGGCAGCGTCAAGAAGAAGACGGCGGCGGCGGAACAGGATGCCTTCGAGGCCTACCGACGAAACAAGAGCTACTCGTTCCGTAGATTCTAGTACAGAATGTAGGGCGTTCCTGTATCATTCGGGTTGTTGTTATTGTCGTCCGTAGCGGTTTGCCAGACCCCTTGCTGGGTACTTCAAGGCGTCACGTACAGCCAGACGCGGGGTTTTTGTACTTACCTGCATCAGATGCGTCGTCAATAGCTGTGGCGGTCGCCAGTTACTTCTGTATTATGCGAGATGGGTAGGGTTAGAAGCAGGGGAGCACAAAGGAGCGTAGCAGAGGGCCGGTCAGTCCCAGCGTTTGCTTCCAGAGATGTGAGCCCTGGCTGTGATGCTCTTGTCGCGGTGACGCGCGAGATGTAAGGTGTGCCCTGAGATGGCCTGGCCTCGGTGCTGGATGCCGTGTCTTGGCTCCTTTTGGTCGCTGCGGGGCTCAAGAGATGGAGCAGCAATTAAAACACCATGCGGTGGTGCAGAATATGTATTCGTCCTTGTCCCGCCCCCACCCGAAGGAAGCGAGCGTCTTCTCGTATTCGGGCATATCTAACTCACTGATAACGCTTTTCCATTTTCGTTAAGAAACCCCTATGTTCATACTGCGACATGAGTTCTGAAGAACACAAGAGCATCGATCAAGGACTCGACTACTCTGGGAGATCCTCAGCAGCGTGAGTAGAGGCCCGTCAATTGACGACATAAGCCGACGCCAGCCGAAGGTGGGAGACGAGGTTGTTGTGCGTCTTGTCTCCGTTTGGGATTACTACCTCCGTGCCGGAATTGACGGGGTATAGTTCACATTTGGAGTGGCGAGGAACGGAAGACTCCGTTTGAGAGAATAGCACCCTGTCAGATACCAAAGCCAAGATGGTACAACAACATTTGGGGGTAACGGGGGTTGTAGCACATTCCCCCCTGGGTTGGCAGTACTTGGCACAGAGTAACATTCCGCGTTCCATCGCAGTACCACCACATCATGAGCCGGTGTTCGTTTACACTCCTAGACTAACCGTCCGTCAGTACCGTTACAAGATCATCCAAAACTACCTGGAGCCAGGGTTCGTTTACACTCCTAACCGCACCCGTCAGTACAGTTGGAAGACCATCCAACACTACCATGAATCGGGCTTCGTTTACACTCCTAACCGCACCCGTCAGTATTGTTGCAAGACCATCCATAACTCGATCCACATTTTTGTCGTCACTTCAAAGCAGCCCTCACAGCACTCGCTTGTCCATTTACGCCCGCCCGAGGTCTCCCAGAAGGGTTTCCCCCTATCCACACCTCCAGCGGTACTTCACCTTCGACTTTCAATGCGAGAAGAGTGCAACACTCTCTTTCCCTCTGTGTACACACGAACTACTGTGGCGCTTTCCACCAAGACCAGGAACGGAAGCGAGAGAAATAATAATAGAGGGAGTACTCACTTTGCAAGAAAAGCTCGCTTACGCTGGGATTCGAACCCCTGACCCTCACCACTACATAATACAGAGGACGTGTTTCGAGGATACCAACCAGACTACCGGGGCGGCCACAGTGGCCGAAATGATCGCCACCATCACTGCTGTTGTTGTACCACCAAGCAATCTGGGTTCACACGACATCGTAAACGCCTCTGTCGGTCAAGTTAAAAACGTTCACCCTATGTTGGTGTACCATGCCCGTAAGGACATACTCTGCCCCCCTTCCCCTCTATCGCTCCGCTCCCAAAGCCAACTATTTAGACACTTCGCCATGCCGGTGGAGCGTATGTGTATCGAGTACTCCATGAGCACGCACACCCTCCCACACCGTGGGCAGTCTGCGTTGCTGCCCATGCCTCCTGGGTGCCTACCGTATAGCAGGTCTTTCGGAAAAACACACCTACCTTTGTTCGCCGAACGCTGCCGTGTGCTTGTCGACTGCTTGCTGTAGTCTAGTTGTTGCGTTTGTAGCTTGAAGGCAGTGTCGCCCTTCACCAGAACGATAGCCGAACGAACGCGCTGCGCGATGTGGTCCAGACGCGGTCAAGGATTTCCGGATGGTCCCAAAAAATACCTCCTCTCATCTAATTTGTCGGTCACAGTCTCTTCGATCGCGGCAAACATGTTAGCGTTCCTACGAGGACTGAATGGAGCACCTCGGGGATGTAGGTAATGGTAATTTAATCTAATCGAATGCGCGCCGTGTTGCGAAGGCTGGGTGATGAAGAAACCTCCTATCATCCTCCCTTCGAGCTCGCTCTCACGATCCCCGGGCTTTGGGGGAGGCGGCTTTAAGATAAAGACAAGTCAGCGCTGACTTGTCTATGAAGGTGTAACTTCATCTTATAATCAACGTGTCTAGACTAAAAGGGGTACTGTTAACGACAAAAAAATCACGGATCATTTAACAACGGGATCGTTTTTTGTCAAACATATATGGACGCGTTTTTCCCCGAAAACGTGAGGAGCCGGGATTTTTTGGGGCTTGCTACTTTCACGGATGCGTGTTTTCGACAGAAGCATCGGACAAGCGCACCGCGGGCGCTGTGACATCATTGAGAACGCTAGAAAGACCTGCCAGACTTACATCTAGGTCTGTTGTGGAGATGGACAAGCGGCAAGAGCGGCGTTCAGTCCGTTCTTGGTACATCATTGCGTAGTGCTCTCGGCTCAACTGCTGCTGCTGTTGGTACTGGGGAATAATAGCTTTCAATCACACATAGCAAACACGGAAACAGTCGAGCGAGTCCAGCAGCAGCACCAAGAAAGACCTCCAACGCGCTAATTTCTTCGCTTCAGCTGTCTATTCGATACCATCTCCCGGCGCCGTGCTGCGTCGTGGGTATTGGGTGCTTGGGTGCTGCTGAATAAGGTGTGTTGGAGACGTGCGCCACCTCACCAAAATGCGGTTGGAAAAAATGCGGCGAGATGATCTGTTTTTGGTCGGACACGTCGTCAACATCAATCCACGGCACCACGCAGCAGAAGAGCAACAGGGCCTCCGGCACGCTAATTCTTTCGGATTGGCATCTATATGATGCTGGCCGTCAGCGCACCTGCCGCCCGATGATTGTTGAGCTCGTCTACCTTCGGGCAGTTGATGGTCAAATATCGGAGTCGCAACCGTGAAAAATGAGGCGGCAAACCAGGGTGGGTACCGAAAATTAGCGAACCACGAGGAGGGTGTGTGTGTGGAATATCGCTGTGCCCCCTTCGCTTCTGCGGCCCTCAGGTTTCCTCGGTTGCGTGCCACGCAGCAACAAGCCCTCTGTCTGCACGAAGGGCGATCATGTCGCTGCCCTTGGCGACGTTGAGGTAGCTCCAGAAGCTCGCAGCACTCAAAGCAAAGGGCGTGATCCTTGAACGACAGTTCGAGGTGATCCATGTGAGGGAGGGCAACTCCCTCTCGAGCAAAGGCTGGGAGGCCTTCGATTTGGCATGGAACCTGAGGAGCAGCGGCGTGTTTTCGGAAGAAGAGTGGACCACGCAGGTCGATGGAGATATCTTCGGCATCATCAACAGCGCTCGCCCTACACTGCTGTCACGCAGCAACAAGCCCTCTGTCTGCATCCGGAATGCGATTCTAGCGCGAAGACACTCACTCGTGGCAAGTTAGATGCCCACCAGGGTTTGTCACTCCCCTGCTTGGTTGTTGTTGCGTTTGTTTCCTGTCGCTGTTGCTTTTGCCCTTGCCGTTGCCGTTAAACATGAGTTGCGTAGATGACATATCAGTTTCTGTGACATTGTCGTTTGTGCCCGTCGTTGCAGAGACGGCCAGTGGCCAGATGGACGAGCTGAGTCTCGTGGACGACGACGACAGCATGGAAACGGACGACGAGATTCACGCCATGGAGATTCCGGATGGGTTTCGCATTCAAGCATCTACACCGGCAGCTCTTGACTATTCGTTACTGCAGCGTGGAGTACTCGTTAGGCTGGGCATGGGGTGGTTTGGGGGGGTGATCACTCGACAGTCTCAGGAGCGCATTTACGACTACCGTGTGCATCTCGACCTCGACCAAAGTACGCGCAGCATGAAGCTGCCGTTGAAAATGTACAGAGGAGATCCGGATGCGGTGGTGGGCTCGTGGATCTTGCTTGAGAGGAGCACGGTCGAGCAGGTGGATTGGGGCGGAGCTGCAGCCACGTTGGGCGTTGGTATAGCGGGAAGGGAACGCAGGCCGAACGTGACCCTTATCGACCAAGAAGGTTGAAGCCTTCGGAGTTTGCTTTCACATTTATTTGTACTCAACCGCGAGCATAGCTGCTGCGGTGCGTGATCCGGTCGAAGTCTGTTGTACAAGCATGCGGCCAAGTCGACGACCAGTAATCTTGGTGCCTGGTGAATGGTACGGCGAGGTATGGACGTGCTGTATGGGGATGACACAATTTATTTTTCCGAATGAAACTACACGCCAATTTCCACGTCCTATCGATGTATGTATGTACACATTGCTGCGAGTCACCAAAGGGTGTCCTGGTGCGTCTCTGGAGCACGCCATGGACGATTGGATAGACGATAGGCCTTATCGCCCCACCGATAGCTGAACCATCAGCAAATCGATATGAATTTTAGTCCTAGATAAGATGAGAGATCTACACATCGATAATTATCACGGAATATGCTCCTTTTATTCAAGTCATATCGATGGAGATTGGTGGGCGCGATAAGATTTTGGAAGCGCGCATCGATGCCTGTTGTCGACTCTAGATGGGCTGGGAGCTAAGTGATCGGCTTGTTTCGTTCTGGACGATAGGTTTCACGCGAACACATCGATGGGCATCATTATGACCAGTAAGATGCGGCCAAATTTATCGATGCCTGTCGCAGAGGTCAATCATAAAACAACGTCCACATCGATAGGCATTGCCGCCCTCGATATATCGGGTTGGGGTTCGACATCGATTGACAAAGCGATAAGTTCGACTCGCACATATCGATAGCTATTGGTGCTGGCGATATGTTGGGCGCCTGCTTGTCGGTTACTATTGGTGCTGGCGATATGTTAGGTGCCTGCTTATCAGTAACTATTCGTGATGGCGATATGGGCGCCCGCTTGTTGATAGCTTCGGATCGGATAGAGGCGGATTTTCGACAAGAAACAAGAAACCGCTTATCGTAACACCACCGACGTGCCAAGTGACCTTGGACTCTTTAGAGCTTTAGCGCATTTCAACGCGAGCAACCTCGAAAAAATGCAGATACCAAGCACAGCCACAAGTCTTTAAGGCCTATCGTCTATCCAATCGTCCATGGCGTGGTACAAATGGTACCCTTCCGTAGAGAGAAAAAATAAACCCTGAACCACGTGCTTTGAGCGCAAAACTGGTGGAATGTGTCTAGTTGGTGGTGGATTGCCCGTCTCCAGCCGCTGGAGCCACCCCCCCCCCCACTTCTCCGACAGGGGGCACGGGCACGTTCGGCTCGGGGCCCTCGGCGTCCTCCCCCTCCTCATCCGGCACGAAGTCCCCCTCCTCATCCGGCACGAAGTCGAAAACCCCCACCTCCTTCTCCTCCTCGGTGAAGTCCAACACCCGCACCTCTTCGACGGCCTGTGGGTCCCTGAAACGGTCCGGGATGGCGGCCGCCACGGAAGCGTCGTCCAGCTTGGGGATGTCCATGGGGATGCTGTCGAAGTGCGCTCGCAGGTAGAGCTGCATCTCCAAGTACGCTGGATCAAGCGAGGCACGCTTGCGGGGCATGAACAAGTCCGCGATGCTAAAATCTCGCTCCACCACACCCGCTGAGGCAGGGACGCCGTACACCGCCTGCGCGACCAATCGGAGAGCGAAGGGGTGTTTCTTGCCGTGAAGGCGCCAGTATTCTGCTCCGTTCTCCGTCCGCTCTTCTGGTGGAATCTGCATGGGTGCGAAAACATTGATCGTGAGCGTTGAATCTTGGGGCATAAAAGTGCGGAGACGGCCGTCGCGCTTCAAGTCAAACCCGTGGATTGATCGCAACAGAAAAATACTATCGAGACGTCTGTTGAACAAACCAGGGTCGATGCCCTTCTGAGAAATAGAGATGGAATTTCTTACAAACAAATAGGCACTCAGCTCGGGTATTTGAGTGCAAGTCAAACCATATGATTTCTATTTCACCGAGCCACAAGATGGAAAACACGTAGAGAGCAGTGCTTTTGAAGCACCGAGACAGAAGGTTTCACGGCCGCGCCTGTTGAACATGTATTTGGAAAGCTTGTTTTCGTTTGTGTTTACATGAAGCCGATGGGCACCACCACGTACGGGTGGGTGAGAGGGGCTGGTCTGAACTTGCTTCAATCATTATCACCAACTCCTCACACAACTGCCACCTGGGGCACCGTAGTTCCGCATACAAGCTGTGTCGCCGAGGCGGACCGCACAACCACAACCCACGCGCAAATGCAATTGTCACCTGAGCTGCGAGCCATTCCTTCATCATGGCCTCCGCTTCCTTCCTGGGGTCTTCCTCCACCGGAGTCGCGTCCATGTCGCTGTCGCTGCCTTCATCGTCGTCGTCTAAAAATCGGCGCCGCCGGCGCCGGTGGTCATCGTTTCCGTCACCGGAGGCGCTGGACGCTGCGGTAGAGGTGGTTTAGCCCGCTTGGCCTGCGGTTGCCCCCCTCCCGCACTGCTCTCCACCCCCCCGTCCGATGGTGCCGTTGCTCTAATCGCTTCGATGGCCGCGACAAGGAGGTCGGTCACCTCCTCCTTGATCTTCGCCTTGATGGCGCTAGAGGACCGCATGTCGCCCTCCTTGGCAGCTGAAGAGCGCAGAGCGTCCACGTACCTCAGCTTCCTCTGGTTTGGACTGAGAAGCATCGTGCGGTCAAAGAGGTGGCCGCCAGCGTCAAGCTCGCGGCCGTAGCGCGGCAAAAACCGTGCCACAAGTGCTTTCCTCAACGCGACACGTGTGTTGCGGCCAATCGGCGTGAGGTCTTCGTGCTCGATGTCGTCGTACTTGGTGGTGTCGCCCTCCGCTCCGATAGAAACGACGTGGTACACTCGGAGACGCTCCGCGGGGTCGAGGGTGTAGGTGAGAAGATCCACAGTCATCTCCAGCGCCTTCTGCGCAGTGGCCTCGTGCGTCGTCTGGGAGTACTCGATAACGGCCTTGAACTCGCTCAGCATGCTGTAAACTTCCTCCATCTGAGAAGGGATAAAATATAGAGACGGGGGGAGAAAGTGGCTTTTTAAATGCGACGCGGCACGTACCGTGCAACGAGGAGGGCAACAGCATATTCTTCAGCGGTATGGAATCATGTGCCTCGCGTTCGTCTTCAGCATAATTTTTCCCGGGGGCGCTCCCCCACCGCGCCTACCAAAACCCAAAAGGGCAACATACACACCACACAGCTTGAATACCACGTGAGCGGGAACGTGGGAGTCATTGACCTCGAAAGCAACACACTTTGATGCGTGATACGAAGTCATCTCCTCCTACATAAGCTGGTGTACTTGGTTTCTAGCGGACACAGCAAGAGCCCGGGCCACCTTTTCCCGAAAAACAATACGAGAAAAAACAAAAATTCCAAGCCTCCGAACACATGGACCCTGCTGACCTCACGGCGCAGATCTCCCAAAGGGAATTTCTCGCGGTTGCTGGCGTAGACCTTGTCGATGGCGACCCATTGCTCTAGGATGCGGAGCAACATCTTGCACAGGCTGATCCAGCGCTGGGACACCGCTTGTGAGAGCTTCGCCTTCCAACGCTTGCCGTCGGACGCCTTCTCGAGCGTGTCCTCGAGTTCGATCTGCCATTCAAAGCGGGGCATCGCCAACAACGCACATCGGTATTTCGGCATGGCGGGTTGAAAGGGAACCGATGAGAATAGGGAAAGTGAAGAATATCGCAAGGCTTCTACCTAACCCTGAGTCATAACCCTGAAGCAGTACAAGCAGAGTTGTGCAACCCGACAAATAGAGAGTCGCTTCACCTTGAACCCCTGAGATCTGTTGACATGTTGGACGACCTTCTTGCAGATCTCCATCAAGCCGCGGCACGACAGATTCTTGGACTGGTTTGCTGTGTTGGCCATGCCGGTGCCGTCGATGATGACGCGGTTGAGCATGTGCGGCCCACACCACGCCCGCGTAGCTACCTGGCCGATTCCGGTCCGGACGTCACCCCCGCCGTCCGTCACGGCGCCGGCCAAGCGCTCGATCGGTATCCCGTGCTGGCCCAGCACCTGCAGGAACCACTTCAGCACCACCTTGCCAGTGACCTTCCCGAGCGACGGAGCCGGCCGGAAAAGCTTCACCGCCAACAAGTGTGTCCTCAGAAACCCGCTCGAGTCGATGTAGAAGATGCGCACAGCTGCGTCGAGAGTTGACACGAAATTCAGCACCATCATAGGGAGATTTGGCGCGGGACGGGTGGTTTGAGCGCCGTTGAAACGTGCGAAGTAGTTGCAACACAAATCTATTGCAGACTCTGTCCGGTTTGTGTACACACCTCGTGCCGAAAGGCGACTAGAAGAAATATTTAGGGAAGGCACAAATTCCCCCATCCTGCCTAACACGCCTACCGAACGCGGGGGTAAGTGATTCGATACAGATGAATTCCACACTCAGCACGTCCTACAGAACAACGTCGCTGCAGCTAGTTGGTCTTGAAAAAATCGTGAAAAAAATGCAGCTTTTATCCTTCCCATGTACCAGGGCAGCACCAACCATTCGGAGAACATCATGCTAAACACATTGTAAATATCTCACCGATAAACTTCTCTCCGGACACTTTGGTTGTCCAAATGTCACAGTTCGCGTACAAGATCGGGATGATCGCAAGGGCAAGCTGTCGCTGCAAGTCCTTGTTGACAACCTTCAGTGTGGCGTTGTACATCTCAACGATCATCTTCTTCACCTGCCACGAACACGATGAGCCCGTGCAACAAAACAGCAGCATTAAATTGTGTTACCAAGAGACTGTTATAGCCCAGCCCGCGATCACACAAGAAGCAGCAGGGGTGGGGGGGGGGGGGGCAGAAAACAAACAACGATGCCCGAAAGGCCCAATAGCTTCTTGTGGGTTGATTTTGCTGCCTAACGCAACGTCGCCCATCCATTCTTGAACGGAGGTGATGGACAAGGCAAGCCCATGGTGGTGGCGTGTGGTGCTGAAGGATAGGAGGGAGGGAGGGAGGGAGGGGCTGCAGAGCACAGCACGGCAGTGAACGTGACAACCACATTGAAGAGTCTACAGAGATAGCTGTGTTGCTCGCGCGTGTGATTGTGCGTTATTTATTTTTTATTTTATTTATTTATTTATTTTGAAATCTCACATGAGCTATATATCCCAATACATGCGTGGGAGCCCGTCGTCACAAGAACTGGGCACTTTCAACGCCGCAGAAGAAACAAATAAAAGAACAAGGGCCAAAAACGCAAAACTTGTCCTCCAAAAGCACAAAAAAATAATTAAATTCAACCAAAAAAAAAACAAAACTTACATACAATATCTTCGTAGTATTGTTGACCAAAACCAAAAAATAAAAAAATAAAAAACTTATACGAAGTACACATAGTATTTTTGTATGCATTGCAAAACAACAAAAATAAAAAAAAAATATATATATATAATATATTACGGAGTAAACGCACTTCTGTTTACCAAGACCAAAAAATAAACGTCAAACATATTCTCAAATAATAATGTGTTTTTTTTGTACGCAATCAGGGTGATCGAGTGGGGCAGTGCATCATATGCGTGCCCTGCGATAGAAAAACAAACTGGGCCCCGAGGGGCCTGCTCGCTGGCGCTACAGCAGTACATCAAAAACTAGAGTACACGGGAAAATATAAAGTAGAAAAAAAAACAGATATCACATGGAGTAAGGGAAGATAGGGTAGCGCCGACCAGCCGAGAAGCAAAAAGCCCACACCCGCCTACAATGCCGGGGGCGCATCTGTGATCACGTGTATTAATGCGATGAGCCTAAACACTTGAACGATGACAGGAATCCAGGTGATGGGTGATGGGATCTTTTTGTTCTCGACTGATGGGGATCGTTGTCGACTGATGGGGATCGACATGTCAATTAGAATGAGCATCGAGGGGTGCGATCAGCGTCGACCGTTTCTTTGCCAAGCGATTGGTTTCCTACGATGGGTGTTGATGACCAGCCATAAGACCCTATTGAACGCACAACAACCGACCGAGATGTTTCGCCGCACCCTGTTTTCTCCGGTGATAGCTGTTGATCACCGTGTGAGCTGCTACGTTGATCCACACCATAGGATATCGACAAGNGACAGCCTATTGGTTGAGCAACAGCCTGCGGTGTACGTGGTAGTCCGCCCATCGTTCAGCACAATTGTTATCGATATGCATTTGCCACTTCCCTTCTAAGTATCGATTGATTGCCGACTGCCCAATCCCTTCGCGTGACATGATGGCTATCGACAGATTGTTCACCGGCATATCGTACCGGTGAACAACCCATCGACAATCTCACATGTCAGTCACATACATGAACAATATCACCTACCACCTACCACGCATATGCAGCCGCGATTATCACATCGGATCCGGGCCAACTGGCCAACAGATTCAAAAAGATTCGCCGAGCGATGGGATAATGGGCAAATCTTACATAATTCAAAAAAAAATTCGCCGACCGCGATGGGATAATCGGCTGCTTCCTGCTCGGTGTGGGTGCGGCTTTTCGCTGTTGCTCGCCCGCCGGCCCTTCAACTGTCCCCCACCAATGCGCTACTACTGCTGCTGTTGTGGGAGAGAAGGAGGCTCAAACGGCCGACCGGGGCTCATATCTACAACACACAAGGGTAGTTGTTCCACAGGTGCGATATGCGGAGCGTTTTGGCGTCATGGTCCGCTGTGGTCCTCGGGATCACCAGCAGCTCGCGGCACTGGGTCGATGTGAGTTGCGACGACGACCTCGCTCCCGGCCGACGGCTCTCCCCCCCGACACGGTACTCGAGGTTCGAATCGAGGAAGACCGATCGCGTCCTGGTAGATGGACACCAGCTGCAGCTGGAGCACGACGCCATGGCGTGGAGGGAGGAGGACCCGGCCATCCTCTCTAGCGGCAAAACCACCTACTCCGTTATCATAGTTGAGCGGTTACACCACACCTCGAACTTGATCCGGGACAAGGAACGGGTGCGAGCCTTCGAAGACGGCAACACCACGGTGGTGTCGATGCAGTTCGCGGACACTCATCCGCGAGCGTACGACGACTCGGCCCCTCCTTTCTTTGTCGGGCACCCGGCGGAAGGGATAGACAAGAGGGTGCGGCTTGTCTACCTGAAGGAATTCTGGAACAGAATCAACGACAATCAGGTACTGCTGCTGTATACCCCCTCTATACCAGCAGTAAACACGTGTTCAGCAAAAGCATCCCTATGCTGGCGAGGACAGCAGTTGTCATGGTGATGTGGCAACCATGCGCGATCGTCGTTTTCTACTGTTATGAACAAGCATTTAGGTGTCCGATGCTGCTGTACTTCGAAATTCTATGTCTTACCGCCGTACATTATACATTTGAGCACATCGACACAGGCGACATAGAGGGCGCTTTTTGCACAGCAACACGCAGTTTTCTTGGGTGGGACCTCATTTCATGCAGAGGAAAAGATACGCGTGAGTATTTTTTTTATGTTGTACCCCTTCCACCACAGTCGTTGCCGCCGAAAACCGTAATGGTACACCGCCTGCAGCAGTACCGCCCAAACGATGTTCGGTCGACTATGTGTCGAAGTAAATAAACCCAAAATCTTACTATATCCAACGCATAGTCTGTGCAGCTCCTGTTGAAAGTCGTTAGGGATAGAACAGCTATACCAGTAGCCCGTGAGCAGTATCGCCATGTGCAGAACCGTCTGGCGTGCGTTGTGCGGGTTCGGGTATTGTCGACGGAGTGGGATCACAAGGAGAGAACAAACGACCTGCATCGTCTGCTGCAAAACTGAAGACCTGCGGGGAAGGAACGAACGGCAGCAAGCGAGCATGCAAGAACAGCAGTGCGTTCTCGACCAATCGATTGCCACCCGCTGTTTCTGTTTCTCTCCTGTATCTGTCATCGTTATTATTGGCGTCGACCGTGCAAACCGGGTGACCAATGAAAATACGTCAGTTTAGTGCGGTTCAAAACTAAAGGCCACGTTCTGGAACCCCGTGTTGGGGCGTCATGGGGGAGGCTATGCTACTCTCCTGGTTAAAGACAGATACCGCGTACCAGTAACAGAAGAAACTGCTTGTGTGTGTTCCAGGCGTCTCACCTGCAGGCCTCTTGCGAGGATCCGACGGAGACGACAGTGCTCATCATTTCCGACGAGACGTGCGAGCTGCCCGAGCTCCCGCCAGGGCTACCGCCTTCTTGCCGGGCCAACGTCGTTCGCGTGTTTCCCTTCAATAAGCCCAGGTTAGGTTTGACCTTCTGTGAAATAAACATTGGTGGCGCAGAATGACTTCACTACTGCGTCTCTGAAAAATAACTATGTGAGGGAAGGTTTGGGGGAACATAACCCCCGCCTAGATATGGAATGGTCGAACTTCTTGTTGTCACCCCAAGGAAAAGCCAAGCTGATCGTTGGGAGGCACCTACCCACACCTCCACTCATATCACCAACTTGATGCAGCACGTGTCTATACACGCGTAGACGTACGCTCGCACTATTATAGCACCCATGGTGCTGTTTTCCGTTCGACCACGTGCGCAGAAAATTTCGCACGCACTTTCTGGTCAATTCCACCTACCCGTCTTCGTGGTACCGTACGATTTTAATTGAACGCCTCATTCTTTCCCCCCCGACCACGGTTGTTTTACATGAAGAACGGACGGCTTGCCGAGGAACGCCTTCTTGCCACTGGGTCCGCGAGACACGTTCCCTTTCGTGAGCGAAGACCGGCGACCGCTCGCTTCAAGCAGATCGCTGCTTTTCAACTTGCAGGTGCGTCGTGTGGTGTCTTGTTGCATGGAAAGTGTCCAACTAATAATATTCATGTATCACGGCTTCCTTCCGCTTCAGAGAGAGAGAGAGAGATAACGCCAGCATTATTCATGCATACAGGGATCGTATACCGCATTTGTCAGCCACGTTCGTTTTATCGACCACGGGTTGTTTCGTGTTTGGGAAAGTGTTGATAATTTTCTTGAGGGGGTAGTACTCCTCGCGCTACGGCGTCTACATGTCTTGCACCCTTCCTGGTCCTGTCGCCGAAAATGGCGGCGGCTTGAGCAGCCGTCGGTCGTAGCCAATCCCTTCGAACAATGGACCATCACCCTCCACAACCATCACCATACGGTCCACCCGTGAATCGCTGACCAAGCAGGTCAGGTCCGACACGTCAGACAGGAGGGCAGAGCTCGTGAACATCGCCAGTCAATACGGGTCGGACAACCCAGACCTGGAGTGTGCCACCAATAGGCCGCACATCAACCCGAAAAAGTGGCAGGATCTAGTGCTTGACTCGAAGTTCACCATTTGTCCGGCGGGGCGCAACCCCGGAACCTTTCGCTTGTGGGAAGCCTTGGAGGGCGGGTGAGCGTCCGTACCGTTTTCGTTCTTGTTTACCACCATGATGTCGACTTTACAGCCGTCGCTCGCAGTTGCTACCCCCCTGTGCTGGCAATCCCCGCTCTGAACAAGATTCAGTCACGCTCCGTGAGGTTCTCGACGCGAAAAAACCTGTCCATCATGTTATGTGGTAGTGAGGGCGGAATAGGTCGATGTGCGTATTCCGCAGGTTGCCCCGAGCTCGTTGATGTTAGCATGTTTTTATCGCAGCCAGATGTGGAAGCTCGTTCGTAATGTTTCTCCCACAACCATGCCCGCCCCGCGGATCCGTGGTTAGTCAGCACCTTCCATGTGATGGGCCGGGAAATTGGGATCTCCGACGTCCTGCCCCGAAGCAGGATAAGTTCACCTTCGGAGGGGAGAGAAGGGCCCACGCTGTGTCCGATATATTCTGTGATCAGGGGGTATATCGTCGTCATCTTAACGGAGACAGTACTTTTTCTTCCCCAACTGGGACCCCTTTTCAAACTCCTAAATCAACGATTCTCGTTTGAGCAGCACGAGAAAATAGGGAGTGGGGGGACTATGACGTCTGGCATTCCGCTTCACGGGTTCTCTTGTGCGTTGCACCGCGACGAGGTGTCGAATTTGGTTACTCGCTGTATATCCCCGGTTTTTGGGTGAAGTCGCCCCCGCAAGACTTAGGGCCGTTAAAAGGGCGTCGGAGGAATATCACGAAGTCCCCAACGCGCGAGAAGTCATCACCCTGCCAGAGCACACCAATGGTCACAACGAACGCTGAGATGGGAACAGAAGAAGAGTCCGTTTGATGCTGACTAGTCCGAGGTGCGCGTTTCGTGGACAGGTCGATACCTATCGTATCGAAGCTGGACTTCACGCAGCCGGCGTTGGGTGCTCTGTCCACCCAGACCTGCGGAGACGGCGACATCGCTTGGAATATAGTGGCCGCTTCTCCTTTTGTAGAGGCGGTCTCGGTGAACGACTGGCACGAGCTGCCGGCCCTCCTCGACCGACTGCGGCAGGAGCCGGACGACTACATCAACAAACTTCAGGTAGGGTGGCTCGAGTCGTGGTAGATCGTTGACGTTTGGTGAACGCTGCTGGGTCTGATGTGGAGGATGCCGACGGTTGCATGGGGGTGACTTCGAGGTTTTTTGTGCGTACAAAAGGCTTTACCGTTTTGATTGATTTACATGTAGACGTTTGAAATAGTTGTGGTGTTACTATGGCGAGGGGTGAAATAGGAATGTCGGTGGATGAAGGCTGGCAGGCGCTCCAGTTGTCGCAGGAATTAGTTTTCTGGGAGACCTCGACCGCGCCGTCAGGTGCTCACAATCGCCTCGATCTTCTACGTTCTGCATTTGTTTGCCTTATCTTTCGAGAATTGGTCGAAGGATTTGCGAAGATTTCATGTACCTGCTGGCTACTCTGTATTTTCTGGGTGAACACCGCCGCAAAATGTTCTACCGTTAATACCTAGTCGAGGGCGAAATGACCGTTGCGGTGTGTATCGTTGTGTATATCTTTTTTTGGTCTCTCTGTGCACCTGTCTCGCCCCTTCTTGCTCTCTATCCCCTCTCGCCGTCTTTTTTCTCTCTTTCTGAAGACGATCGGTCACTCGCTCGGGAAAAAGCATGTATGTATGCCATCCTGATACACCCGCCGCCTAGGAAACATCATTCAGAAGGCAATCGCGGCAGATACTACATAGTGGAGGAAATACCCTTACGGCAAGGCGGATCTTCTTCCAATCTCTTCCGCACCCCTTCGCGCCCCGCCCTGTCAGGGTTGCTTGCGGGCGCGAAAGTGTTATTGTACATTTGATCCTTGTTTCTATTTATCAGACGTTTAGCGCTGCCGATGCCAACGATAGATACGCACACACATTCATCCGGTGTGATTGGGCGCCATTTTCCGCATGTGTCCACCGAACGTCACCCAAAGGATTCGTTTCGGTTGTACCTCATTTAGACCTCGACTGTATGACAAACCGAAGGTTGCTGCTTGTTGTGGGCTGCGGTCATTTTCAACCCCTACCTTTTCACAGGAGGATTGCGTGGCATGGTACGCTTCGGCGATGACGAAGACGTACACAAGCGTGCTCAACTTCGGCGAAGGGCACGACCTTTTCCCCCAAGACGGGCCACTCTTCGGCAGTGTTTAGGGAGAATAGTCATTTCAGAGCCCTTAATCAATCCATTCATCCACCGCTAGGCACTCTCGGGATCAAATGCTGTCTTCCAGAATGAATTCCCGTAGACAACGGTGTGTTCATGTCAAGCGGAATCAATGTGCGGAACAGGTTTTGCTGGTGAAAGTTACTACGCAAGTAAGTGCGGTCCGTTGTATCTTCAATATGTAAATTCATGATCGGACCAAAGTCACATTGGTTTTCAACGTCAAGTTAGCCTTGGCCTTGGTTGTTGCCACATGTAAGGCGTAGAGACGAACTTGCTCATCATCGCGTTGCCGGCTTGCACATCCCGTGGTTTTGTAGGCGTTGATGGTGATAATGCAGTCGTGTGCGCTATACGTGCCGGTGGTACAAGTGCCGGAGCAAATATTCTACCAGTACATACCGACTGCTCGAAGGACCCCATGATCTTAGAGAGGAAGTTGTCCACGCGTTAGTTGGGTCTAGGTTAAAGTCGGCCTATTCTTTCGTCTACAAAAGGTAGTATTCGTCACAACCCGTAATTTATCACGGGTGAATGTACATTCAGACTGTTCGTGAATGGAGGTTGGCCATCATCGCTTGCCCCACCGATCGTTCTCGCCCTAATTTCGGTCTGTCCATAAAGGGGAGCCTGACGCCGCGATCGTTCACTTGGGTGTCCTAACGTAAGCATCGAACCCATAGCCTGAGGGTTGGGCAACATGCATGCGTAGTTAAAGATAGCCCAGTGCAACTAATGCTGCTGTGAAGTAAACCGGCCAATTAAGGGACGCTAAAGCCACCTCTCGCGCCAACAGCTTGTTCTCGGGCGTGAGCACGAATTCCAAGTGTTTTTAAGTATCGGACGATAGGGTACATTGTCGGCTGTTTCTGTACCCCCGTGACCACCCACGGAGGTTGCCGTGCCCTCCCACGGTATGATGTCTGTCTGGGGACTAGGTTAACCCAGAGGACCGATGCAGATGATGAATATTCTTGATTATCACACACGTGCTCTTCCAGCACGGACCAAAGTCAGTACAGGTCCTGTATCAGTGAACATATGTGCGGGCTCTCACGAGGGGGGCCCGCACTTGGACCCCCAACAGTATACTCCCCGCACGCATGTTTTCTGCAGATCGGATCTTGTATCCAAGTACCCCAATCAGCCCCCTGCTTGATACAATATACGATCTGAAAGTCCGAGGTGGATAATCTTCCAACCAATACAAAAACACAAATAACCACTCGAGAAACATCCTCTACAAAACTGGTTACGCATTTTAACGCAAAGCGTCTCCATCAGTTTATCCATGAACCCAATGTATTCTCAAACCGTCAAAACAAAAGAATCATCCTCAAAAGAGTACCAACAAATATCTGCGCTACATGAGAAAAGCGTCGGAACGGTGACGGACAAATCTGGAAAAACAGCTTCTTAAAGAGTTCACACAACATCTTCAAACAACACAAAGTTTCAACTTCTTGACCAATTAAAACAAGCATTCGGAAAGCACAAAGGCCCCAACCATCACTCGTCAAAACATGTCAAACCCTTCCTCCAATATAGCATCCAAGAACGAAATCCTTTAACAGCGTGCACATGCTATCGGTGCCTCAGCTGCTGTCCAAGAGACGACAGAAAATACAGGCCAATATCCATGCAAACAGCCCCCCTGCTGCAACATCTCCCGAAAGATGCAAATTCTGCGACACCCGTATCTCACTGGTTTTGGCGCAAGACAGCATTATCAATACCAACATCAATACGTGACAGCCCCCCAGCTGGAATATTTCCCCGAAACATACAGATATCTCTGCCTGCGCTTCCTTCCCTCCCTTTCCAACCAACAGAGGATCTCAACACATCAAAGTGTACGAAACAGCCCCCCAGCTGAAAAATGCCCTGCATACATATCAAAAACACATAGCATTCGCTGGTGTTGCGTCTGGAATCATGACAACATATTTCCTATCCCCCTGATTCTTGACGCAAAACACAGCAGAACGAAGAAAACGCCCAGAAAATCATAAGGAAACAAATCCAACTTGAACAGAACTCGACGAAAGCACTCTGCTCTGCTGGTACTGCGGCAAGAAACATCGTACACAAATCCCCCCCGCATGGTTCTTAGACAGCAGTACAAACAGCAGTTCGACAGTGATCATTGAATTTCGCATATTACACAAATTCGGGTCCAAAACACAACAAGTCAAAACACAGAAAAAATCAAATAAATACTCAACCACAAACAGGGATGCCGTACACAGTAACGCGTTGTCTCTCGGAGGCGATTCCTGGATGAATTTCTCGTCTTCGGCGCCACGGGGAGAAACCCGACATGGAACAACAAAAATAAAAACCACAAAGAACAAAACAACGTGAAGTCAACATGCCAATGCCTGCACACAAAACCCAGACAAACTCGTTGATATTTTACATGGTCTCCAATTTGGCGCAAATATGGTGAGGTCGTCGGTGCCACCATATCCTCGCCCTGCTCGGTCGACTCGAGGGTGTCCACCGGAGCCAAATATCCGTCTTCCGCTTCGCCTTTACTCCCCAAATTACGCTGCGCCCGCCCCGCGTTAGCTTGCGCGTACGTCGCCGGGGCTCGCTGCAGGTGTGGCGCTGTGGGGGGCACGGGAGGGGTGGGCGGGGGGGAAACAGACAAGGGTAAACTCTTCCGCCGCTCGCGCGCCCTCTCATCCCCGCTCAAACTGCTGCCGTTGCCGGTGGCGCCGCTCCCGCCGTCGCTGCTGCCGAAGCCGCCGCCGCCGCCGCCGCCGCTGCTGCTGCGGCCGCTACTACCGTCACCGCTGTCGCCGTTGCCGCCCCCCCCGGAGCTCTGGCAGAGGCCGCCACTCCAGCTGCCGCCGACGGAGCTCTGGCCGAAGCCACCACTGCCGTCGCCGCTCCTGATGACGCTGCTGCCGGGGACGGCGCTCTGGCCGAAGCCGTTCGCGCCGCCGCCGCCGCCGCTCCCGGTGGTGCCGCTTGGTGCGAAGCATCACCCCCCAGCATGTGCCCATGCATCTCTACCTCGATCACTCCCAGCACGGGCCCCCTGGTCGCTCTCCTCCACCGGGACAGCTTCCCTCTGTCAANGTGCGAAGCATCACCCCCCGGCATGTGCCCATGCATCTCTACCTCGATCACTCCCAGCACGGGCCCCCTGGTCGCTCTCCTCCACCGGGACAGCTTCCCTCTGTCAAAGGGATGCGTTGACGCTCCATGCCAGGCCGCGCCATCTCCGCCGTCGCCGCTGCTGCTGCTGCGGGCACCGCTGCTCCGGTCCTCCTTACCACCGCTGTTGTAATCTCCCTCCTCACGCACCTCCTGCGCAAATAATTCTCCCGGGTCAAAAGGGTACGACGCGCCCCTGTTGAAACCGTAGATGCCGTCGTCTCCACCGCTGCTGCAGGTCAGGCCGCCACTGTCGGCGCACGTATCTTGACTGCCCGGCGCCAACGCGGCAACCGGGGACGCCGCTGCTACTGCTGTCCCCACCGCCGCCGTTGCCATCGCCGCCGCTGCTACCGTCTCGATGCCGGGCACCATCGCGGCCACCGAGGATGCCGCTGCTGCTGCTGTTCCCACCGCCGCCGTTTCCGTCGCAGCCACTGCCGTTGTCGCTCCATGCGGCGTTAGTCCTGCCGCCGCAGCTCTGGCCGAAGCCGCCGTTGCGGCCGCCGGTGCGGATGCCGTTCCACACATCCCAACCGTTGAAGGTGGGGCAGCAGGACGGATCTCATCGACATGGTTTGCTGTGGGTGATGGCACAAGTGGGGCTGCTGGCTGCTGCTGCTTCTGCTGCTGCTGCTGCTGCTGCTGCTGCTGCTGCGACGGTGACTGCTTGGGTTGTTGCGATGCCGCGGACGGCGAAACTACAACAACGCGGTATGGTCCGGGAATTTGCCGCCTTGCTACACTTCTACTGTACCCGGCCTCCATGAGATCCAGCTCTGCGCGTTTCCGCGCTACTGCAGGTGCTACACGTGATGTCGTGGGTTGCGGGGGAGAATGAGTGGCGGAGTGCGTAACTGCGTTGGGAGAAGATACGTTGACGTTGGCGGGGACTATTACCAGCAAAGACGCAACGAACCGGCAGCAGCCCCCCCCTCCTTCTCGCCAACAAACACCCCACCACTCACCTGTCCAACCACACCACGGGTGGAGCCGGCCGCCAGCTGTTGTTGCTGCGGCTGCTGCTGAAATCCACCAGTGCTGCCATACATCACGCCTGGCTTCTGCTGCTGTTGCTGCTGCTGCTGCTGGAACACAGACCCGCCGCCAAAGCCACCGTTCCTCCGCTGCTGAAACGGTCCGCGGGCGAGGTTGAACTTGCAATACTGATGTACATGACCTTTCTCTCCACAGCAGCTGCATTGGTGCTGCTGCTCGAGAGGAGGAGCAGCGGGAGGGCGTGGGCGTTCGTTGGGCACCAGCTGCTGCTGATGCTGGTACCGGCTGTGCCCTGTAAGGAATTGGTTGTGGTGGCTGCTCTGCTGCTGCACTCCTCTCGTCACCTGCTGCTGGTGTCCACCGTACCACACATGCTCCGGTCGCCCCGGTGGTCTAGTGGGTAGCCTCGTAGCCTGCTAAGGGCCAGGTCATGGGTTCGAGAACCCGACAGAGTGAGTCTTTTCTCGCTAGATAAATCCTGATCCCCGTTGGAAGCGACGCGCTGCAAAGCTCGTTGTCAGATACCTGGTAGTAAACTTGATCGACCTCGTAAGTCGCGAGGGAAGGGATTGCTGTACCCTACTCGCGATAAAAACATCTCAGGCAGGAACCGCAGGAGGGGGTCCAATCCCCCCCTCCTATGTGACCCCGGTTGGGTTGTCTAGCTGGAACAAGTGAAGGATAGGGGTCAGAGGGGCAGACGACAGAATCCAATGATGGGAGAAAAACAAAAACAACAAAACAAACATGGGGCTTCTTCCTCTCTCTCTCTGAAAAAGTTGATTTGATCGATCCTTCCGTCCTCGTCAAAAAATAATCTCCCTAATCCACCGGGTCCACCCGGCATGTACACCTCCTCCAGCTGCCCACCCAGCTTGACCACCTGCTGCCTTCCCAGCACTCTCTTCCGCAGCGATCTTGTCCATCGCTAGTTGGACTTTCTTCCTCAATTCCTCTACCGCCCTCTCCGCGGCTGCTGCCCTCTCCGCAGCTGCTGCCTTTCCCTGCAGCATCCTCAGAATCCGACATACCTAATAAATATATATACTATCACACTACCGGTCGCCCCCGGGTGGTCTAGTGGGTAGCCTCGCAGCCTGCTAAGGACCAGGTCGTGGGTTCGAGCCCCGGCAGAGGCAAGTTTTGTTTTCACTAAACAAATCCTGGTCTAGGATGAAAGCGACGCGCTGCAAAGCTCGTTGTTAGTAAACCATAATCGACTTCGTAAGTCGCGAGGGAAGGGACTGCTGTACCCTTCTCGCGATAAAAATACCTCAGGCATGAACCGCAGGAGGGGGTCCAACCCCCCCCTCCTATGTGACCCCGGTTGGGTCGTCTAGCTAGAAGAAGTGGAGGATAGGGGCCAGAGGGGCAGACGACAGAGTCCAATGATGGGAGAAAAGCAAAACAAAAAAAAGCTTGCGGGTCGCGCTGTGAGCGCTCGAGAGCTGTTTTATTGCGATTTCTCTGCTCGTGGGCCTCGCTTCGGTTGGGTCGTCTAGCTAGAAGAAGTGGAGGATAGGGGCCAGAGGGGCAGACGACAGAGTCCAATGATGGGAGAAAAGCAAAACAAAAAAAAGCTTGCGGGTCGCGCTGTGAGCGCTCGAGAGCTGTTTTATTGCGATTTCTCTGCTCGTGGGCCTCGCTTCGGTTGGGTCGTCTAGCTAGAAGAAGTGGAGGATAGGGGCCAGAGGGGCAGACGACAGAGTCCAATGATGGGAGAAAAGCAAAACAAAAAAAAGCTTGCGGGTCGCGCTGTGAGCGCTCGAGAGCTGTTTTATTGCGATTTCTCTGCTCGTGGGCCTCGCTTCGGTGCGGTCCTTGCGGCTACCGGTAGCCCCGCGCTGCGAGCGCCTTGCCGGCGCGCGCTCCCGGTCGGGGCGGCCGCGGCGTGGCCGTAGCGAGCGCGCAAAGTCGAGCCTACGACCGGTACCTACGGACCGGTAGGAGTGTGGGAGAATCAGCCGACAACTGTAGTGTCGTTTTTTTTGGGCGGGGGAGAGATGAAAGCCTACATACGCCCTACCTACATATAAATACCTTCCATACGCCAATCGGTGTTCCTTCTGTCAAGGCCTCTCTAGCGCAGCAGCAACTAACTCAAGTGCGACGAGCGTTTGCTAGAATTTGGTTGTCGGAAGTAGCCGCTATCGGCCGCTCCGCCGCTAATTCGCCGCTGGGAGCAGCAGCCAGATGTTACCCCAGCACAGCGGGGTCACACCCACCCGTATTCAATCGCTGTCGGTTGCAAGTAGCCGCTGTCAAGGCAAGACAGTAATTTCTAGCTAGCTCGGGGGCCAATTCCCCGTTTTATCGATTATGACACAGCAGTATCGCTTGGCGTCAGTTGCGGGAGAACTTTAGGGTACCTCACACACATTTTTGTCTTTACTTACCAGTGCTTGTCTTTATTTACCAGTGCCTCACAAACAACTAGCGGCAGTGGTGTCGAGTGATCGAACGTCCTTCGATGGGGGGGGGGCGAAATAACGGGCAATTCTTTCACGAAAACCCCCGCGGGCTATTGCTTGGCCTGGCCTTCCCGCACTCAAGCCACACACCCACTCTCTAGCCAAGAGGAAGAACATGTCTCGTTTTTCGAAGACAGTTCCCCAACCAAGAAAAGCAAGTCCACCGCCACCGGGAGCGGGATCGTGGACAAAGACGGCTGGAAGACGGGCGGCGAGGTCTATCCTGACCGTCTCTGTCCCCTGGATGGCAAGCCCGTGGTAAAGCGATACCTCAAGACCGGTCGCGCCTTCATCTCGTGCTCCGGGTACGTGAAAGACGACCCAGCGTCCTGCTACTTCTCCGCCAACCTGTTTGGCAAGGAGAAACTCAAGGACGGGGAGGACTCCTCCCTCAGCTGCACCACCTGCGGTGTCCCGGTCGACCTCGTCCCCTTGCTCGGCGTCGACACCGGGAACGAACATCCTAGCACAGGAAAACCAAGTAAGTCTCACGCTTTCCCTTGCGGGTGTTGCTTCCGTTCTTTGTTTTGTTGTGTACACGATAGAGCTTCCTGTTGCTTGCCATTTTGTGCCCCCTGAGATGTCTCGCCCGATGTTCGTTCGCGCACTTTTTTTGTGTTGCTTTGCGCACGCTGTGGCTTGCTGCTGTTGCTTCCTTTTTTTATGCGCCCTAGAATCTTTCGCCCGGTGTTCGCGCTATCTTCTTCTCCCACAAATTTTCCTTTGTTTTAGTGATGGTGTTTTATTTCGCACCTTCTCATTTTGTCTTCTTCTGTTCTTTTTTCGCTCTCTCTCCCCGTTGTTCAACCTCTATAGTCGATAAAAACACGCACGCGTTATTCCAGGACTGCCTGGGTAAAAGGGCGCTTGATCCCGTCACCGGGAAGACCGTCATCGTGCACTGCACGCCAGCCAGCGGCCCCGTCGTCGGGGTAAGTTTTTATTCCTTTAGGCAACCGCTTCTATCGTCGTTTCCGTCATCAATCGTATTGCTTCCAACTCTTATCACATCTTAGTGATAGGTCAGGGTTAGCGGTCACCACTAATGTTGTTTCGTCCACGTAGCGTTGCTGAAGGATGTACCACTAAGTTTTGCTTCATGAACTTACTGATTGTCGTCACCTGCCTTGCCTGTCTGTCTGTTTCACCTTCTCCTCCCTCTTCTACTTATTCTTAACCAGGAAACTGCAAAGCGGTAACAAAGTTGCACGCTCACTTAGAAGGTGAACAATATATCACTTATCCCGATGATGCCACACCTGAAATGCGCCTTGAAATTGCTGAGAACTCTCCCTCTCCCCTGATGATATACTCTAAACGCCCGTCAAACGCCATCTTCACCCCGCTAACCCTGTTAGACTACTACGAACAATACACCGTGACAAAACCGAAATAAGACGAACCAAAGCCAACCTGCGCACCTCCCGGCAAGTTCTTAGACTACTATGGCAAAACAATATCGCGCAGAACTGAGCGTAACCAGCATGTGTGTCGCATCGGCTCCCAAAGTCCGGCCATTGGAGACTTATTCTACCTACGGCTATTATTGCACACCGTACCGGGTAGGTCTCTCACCGACCTCCTCCTAGTGCCTCAACCAAATTCATTACCCTTTCAACATGCGAATTTCCATGACGCCGCTAGAGCTAGAGGATTAGTTACTGGTGACGAAGAATACACCATTTGCATGGAATTGGCTGCCTCTTTCCAGGTTGCAAGCCATCTTCGAGCACTGTTAGTGACCCTCATGTTTGACGGCGCTTCCGCACCAAAACTGCGGTCTGAGTTTCAACCCAATTTAATCGAAGATTTCTCTCTCATCATGACACAAGAAGAGTCCATACAAGAAGCCCTTAGGGAAATCGACGAAAAGCTTCAGTTGCACGGTAAACCAAAGGAGCAAGCAAACCTTCCTGCAGCTCGGCACTCGACAAGAGAGTATGAAAGAATGAGAGACTCATTTGACATAAACACGTCTAAGGACTACGCTCAAGTTCACGAGAAAAATCTTACTGCTGAACAACATCACGTGGTACAAAACCGTAATCGACTCTGTCAACAGTAGTGAACAAGGGCAACCTTAAATGATTGAT